AGTATATCTGAATAGGAAAAGTAGCTTGCACCTATGTCATGCTGTCAGGTCTGGCATTAACCGTTTCATACTCTCAGGGTCAAGGGTAAATTTCTCCCTGTGGTTCAGTGCTGATGGCCTGATTTTCTGTGCCCTACTAGTAAGTTTAATCTTTTGCCCTGCAGTCACCTGGGTGATGTGGGCAATTTACCTGGCCTCTGGGTTTCAGCTTTTTCTTCTGTAAAATAATAGAACAAAGCTACCTTGAAGGGCCTTTCTGTTTCTGGTAGTCTCAGCTTTTGAGCACTTTCTCTGAAGCAGGGGGGCAAGCTGCTTTCTCAGGTGGAGCCCTATACTAAGTCAACAATTGTTAATAGAGTAAGAATGACCTTTTAAGCAGTCAAACCGGTCCTTCCGTCAGTGACCAGCCATGAATAATATTGTTGTAATTCTTAGCAACTAGATTCAGATAGAATTACGGTCCTGTGGGTGACTTTGCCTTATGTGCCGTCCTTAAGAAGGTAGAGGAGCTTGGTGGGCTTCTAGCTTATCTAATCATTTGAGAATTTCCCTGGTACCCAACAGAGAGCCATTTAAAAGAAATTTCGATGTTGATTATGAGCCCAAAGATTCATTATGGTGAGATTTGAAAGTTTTATCCTAAGAGGTTCATAGAAAGCCAAGAGCAGCTCTGCTTGAGCATTGTTAAAACGTTCATTAAGGGAGTCTGTAGGGCAAAGGAGTTGAAATTTGGGATCAGATAAAACTGACCTTGAGTGCCATGTACTGGCTAGCTGACCTGGACTTACTTATTTAGCTCTCTCCTGATGTGATTATTTCATTCTATCTAAAATGGGGGTCAATGATTATTTCTTTCTGTCTAAAATGGGTCTTCCTAATAGAACTGGGAGGTTTGAGGGGCAGGGAGAGGCAAAGGGATGTGCTCAGAAATCTAGGTTTTTATGGTTATTCTTTAACAGTCAGGGTACTGTCTAGCACCCAGAGGACTGTGTCTGAGCACATCCAGAGAACACCCTCAGAGGCTAGGACTTCTCTGCTTCCCTTCAGAAAGTTTGTTAAGTGTCCTTACTGGTGTTTGGATGGAGAAAGTGCTCACCCCTCAAAACAACCCACCCCTCTGGGGGATGTTTGGCCTCAGGAATGATGTGATTATATAAACCAGGTATCCAGATCTTAGCCCAGAAGACAAAAACTTGTCTTTCTGTTCTAGTTACCAACATTCAGGATACATTAAATTTTGAGTACAGGTGTTTATCTGCTTTTTTTTTTTTTGCCTTATGTCATGTATATTAAGTGAAATACAGTAAAATTAACCTTTTTAGGTGTGTAGTTCTGTAAGTTGTGACAGATGCACTCAGTGTGTAACCAGAACCATATTCAGTAGAACATTTTTGTCACCCCCAAACCTTTTCTTCCCCAACAACCTTAGCAACAGTGTAGCCTGGTATGTCTTTATCCCTTTTACTGGTTTAAAAGAACCCACTTGCCTGAACTGTTAAAATTTTCTAGACAGCATTAACTGTCACAGTCCATACTTTCAAATTGTCATGAACTCCCGCAGGACTCTGGCTTCAGTCACTGAGCCTGGATCCCTTCAATCATTATTCAGCAGAGATTTACTGAGCTCCTTTTGGTGTCAGCCATGGGCATGTGTCAAGATGGGTACAAAAAGTTCTAATGCTGGTTCTCAGCATTCCGGAGCCATAATTAGCTTAAGGAGATGTCACATGCACAAATAAAAAGTTCAGTGAGGACATGCAGACAATACCAGCAGGTAGAAACCAAGTAATGCCACAAGGTTGGGTCACAGTGTAGTTTGGGCTAAGCTCCAAGGACAGGGAGGGAGAGGCACTGAGAGGAAAGACAGGTTAGTCTGTGCAAGAGGATCAGGAAGAGCGCCAAAAGGCATTCTAAGTAGTGCCCATTTCTTGACCTCCCACCTCACAGTACCCTTGTTCAAGTCTGCAGCTCCTCCAGCTGGAAAAATTCTTCACTTCCTCAAGTTTATCATAGGTTTTTCTTACCTTGCCTCCCTTCTTTTACTTTTCACTTTTTCACTGCCTCCAGTTTACTCCCTAGATTATTATGTGCTGGCCTGTTGCCCACAAGACTTCTTACAAACCCAATGGTGTCTCCATTGTTTGTCTCCTGCCCCTCTTAGTACTGGATAACTGTGTCTGCCAAGCAGGTACTCCAGAAATCTGTTAGCTGAACAACTGAACTGGTCATTGTGGAGAAGAACAGTGAGTGAAAGAATCCGTGGGCAGAGCAAAGGGACAGAATACAGAAGGTACTTGAGCTGCTGCCATTGTTTTTAGTCCTAGGGAACTTGATGTCACTGTTAGGAGTGACAGTGCAAAGGAGAAAGGAGTGTTGGGAGTGGTGGAAGTTAAAGTGGCTTTGATTTAAGTCAAGCTTATGTAAGCTATCCATTTCCTTAATGTTCAGGGCATCACTTGTACACTTCCCCCGACCCATACACACATTCTCTCTCCTCCCCACCCCCCTTTCTCCCTCTCTCACTGGTTTCTGACTCCACCCAACTGCTTCATAAAACTTGGGACAGGATAGGACTTTGTCTTGTTTTCCTTCTATTTTGTTTTCTTGGGAGAGGCAGGAGAAACTTGAGAGAGGTCAGTGCTGGCACTCAGTCCAAGTCCAGTGAACGGCATAATTGATGCCCTTACACTCAAATAGGATAGTACAAAGGCTGAAATAAGAATTTGGGAGTCTGCCTGCCATATATAGCCTTCCTTTCTTTGATTTAATTATATCCCTTCCAGCATCCAATTTCCCTTCTCTTCTGTGTGCTATGGATTTGTGAACTCTTTTTTATCACATCCCCAGTCTCCTTTCTCAGCCTCTTCTGTGACTCTCTCTCTTTATTAAAGATCTCTGAATTCCCACCGCCCTCCAAAACCTTCCCTGAGTGGAAGTCAGATAATATTCTCATCATCCCTTCAAAGCAATTAAAACAGGAACTTACAAACAAAAATACTGCAGCAAATGAGATATTTTGAATGACTGAGAGAAGAGCCCATCCATGATAGCTGACCTCTCAAGGAGACTGGAATGTGGTCCCTTCCTGCCCAAATTGAACATTTTGCAATTACAAAAGGATGAGAAAATGAAAAGAATGTAGAGCTCTGCACAGAATCCGTGCTGTGTGAGTTTGGATAAGTCACTCTAACTTTCTGTGCCTCAGTTTCTTCATCTACATCAGTATAATAACATTTTCCCTGTTCTCATGGGTTAAAATATTAAAATATCTTGTACATGTATGAGCATAACATTGATTAAGGTGGTAAAGTGCTCTGGGGACCTTGAGAAGACATACTTATTACCATGCTGTTATGTTCTTTATTAATTGGAGCCAATTGTCAGGGACATCTCATCCAGTCAGTTGCCAACAGTAATATAAAGTCAATTCTGTTTAAAATTAGAACAGCTCATTAGGGACATTCAAATTCAAGCCACAATGAAATACTATTACTTAACCTAAAAGAATGACTAAAATAAAAAACAGTAACTACACCAAATGCTGGCGAAGATGCAGAGAAATCTGACCGCTCAGACATTGCTGGTGAGAATGTGAAGTGTACAGCTACTCTAGGAAACAGTTCAGTGGCTTCTTAAAAAACTAAACATGAAATTCCCATACCAGCCAGCAATTGCAGTCTTGAGTGCTTATCCTTGATCATTGGAAACTTAAGGTCATATGAAAGTGAACACAGACATTCATAGCAGTGTTACTCTTAATAGCAAAGACTGGCATCACACCAGGCATCCTTCACTGGGTGAATAGTTACATGGATGGGTACATCTACACTATGGAGTATCAACAAAAAGAGGAACCAATTATTGATATACACACAAATTTGAGTGATTTTCCAGGGAATTATGCTGAGTGAAAACAGCCAACCCCAAGGAGTTATTATATGACTCTGTTATGTAACATCTTAGAAATTACAAAAATTGTAGGAATGAGGACAGATCAATGGTTGCCTGGGGCCAGGGATAAGGAGATAGATAGAGGTGCACTGAAGGAAGGTGGATACTTGTAGTAATAAAACTGCTCACTGTGATGGTAGATACATGAAACTGATAAAATTACAAAGAAGTGAGTAGACATATGTACACACACAAAGGAGTAAGATTGAGAAAATCTGAACAAAATGGTGGATGGTTATCAACGTCAGTGTTGTGGTTGTGATATTGGACTCTAGTTTTGCAAACTCTAGTTTTTGTTACTTACCATTGGAGAAAACCAAGTAACAGGCACATAGAATCTATTATTTCTTACAACTATGTGTTTATAGTTGTCGCAAAAGAAAGGTTTAATTAAATCAAGGCAATTTCAGAGCCAGGTTGTTTAGAACTCATGATCTCCATGTTCTGGGCAGTTAACACTATAATGCTTGTTAGAGGTGGGGAACTGACTATTCTATTCTTTTGATATTTTGGACAATTGGTCATATTCAGAACAGGAAGAGGACTGAGAGCATGACCAGAGTCCTTCCCATGACACAGTGGGGTGCATTTTTGTGTCTTTCCCATCTCATTAAGATTTGATAGTGTCTCTCTGAACCATAGAACCCAGAAATAAAAGCATATATCTTCCTTCAGAGCAGGAGCAGAGAACAGAAATAGGTCAGGTCATCTCTGGCGTGGGGCTACCTACCAGGCAGCCTACAGCCTTGGTTGTGACTGGGTTGAGTTTGAAACTCCGCTGAGCCAGACATTGCCACCTAGACCTACCACTGGCAGGCATGCTGGGAACATACCTGGGGAGCAGGTTATTGGATGCTTCTTCTTAGGAGACATTACCCAGATTTCAAGTTTGTTCTTCACCTTCCTGGCTGGTGATGTGTGACTACCAGGACTCTGACTTCTTGACTAGTGACCTGTCTCTGTTGGGGAAGGTTTTCTTGTTTGAGAGTGTGTGCTAGGATCGTGAAGTCAGGAGACTTGGATGCATGATGGCTCCCTTTTCTTTGAAGTTGTAGGACAGTCCCATCTGGACAGCAACATTGAAGATCAAGAGATTGTCACTAATCCACCAGACATTTGCCAAGTTGTGGAGGTGACCACTGAGAGTGATGACCAACCGGTCAGCATGAGTGAGCTCTACCCTCTGCAGATTTCCCCTGTGTCTTCCTACGCAGGTAAGTGAGCAGGAGGGTGACTTGGGAACTTACCAGGGAATAGGCCAGGATTTCCTTTAGTCTGCATCACCCTGTTTTACCATAAAACAGAGAATCCTCTGTCCCAGGAATTATTCTTACTGGACTTATTCTTACTCTTATTTTCTTGACCAGCATCTTCGTGAACATTCCTCCATTAAGAGACCTGGTCATGGCATTTCTTTATTTGATTGTCTATAGCATGTTCATTCATGTCTAAAAAGTGGTAAGATTTCTTGGGGCAAATAATTCATTGAAGTCTAATTTATATGCACAAGGTAACAGAATTTGGGGCAGAATGCTTTCGTGGAATCTCAATCTGAGCAAGGTTGAAAGGACCTTAGAAACCATCTCTCCCAGAGCCTTTATTTTTGGACATGAAAGGACTTGCTCAAGGTCACACAGTCAGCAAATATTTGGGCCTGTACTTGAACTCAACTTTTATCCCTCATGGTCATTACTACGTCCATTCCATTCCACTAGGTTTACTTGCTACTTCCACGTATTTTGTTCTTTTCTTTCTATTTAGCACAGTTTCTAACTGGGCCAGGCAACTGAGCCCATTTCCAATTCCCCAAGGAATTGGCCTCATAATTGCAGGAACTGGTCCAGCCAGAGACACAGATTAGAAACAGATTCAGAAAATGAGGACTCCTTTCTTCTCCACCATTACGTCATCTCACGCTCTCTTCTTCATGATCTCCGTTTAATTTTTTGGAACTTAATCATCATTAGGAAATTTGAATTGTGAGTCAGTGTGATTGCTTGCAAATATTAAAACTAAAAAGCAGAGGTGCTAGCATGGGAAACTGCCGCAAGCCCTAGTAAGTGGTCCAGGGATTCTTCCCAGTGTTCTTCATGCACTGCCAAATGGAGTGTCCTCCAAGAGGATGCCACCCCAGAGACTGGCACAGATGCGTGTGACAGTTAGAGCCGATTCAAATGACTGCTTGTTTGTAAATTACCAGCCACTAAATTAACCTCATATTCCCTGGACGTCAGCTTCCCTTGTTTTTCAACTTATTTTTTTAAGGTAAAATAGATGTAACATAAAATTTGCTGTTTTTAAGTGGTATTAAGTACATTCACACCATTGTGCAACCATCACTACCATCTGTCTTTGCATCTTACAAAACTGAAGCTCTGTGCTCCTTAAACACTGACTCCCCCCGCTTTTCCCCTCCAGCCCAGCCCTTGGCAACTACCATTCTACTTTCTGTCTCAATGAATTGGGCTACTGTAGGTGGCTTTTGTGAGTGATATCATACGGTATTTGTCCTTTTGCAACAGGCTTGTATCACGTAGCATACATCCTAACTTGTTTTTATGTTAGGAGAATAAAAGGAATTTGAGAACAGACCTTGGCTACAGGAAGTTTATAATCTGTCAAGCAAGATAAACTTGTCATCAGTTATTCATACATCAAACATATTTGAATTCTGGTATGTGCCAGTCTATTTTTGGTCTTAACCAGTTCTTAATAACTATATTATTTGTTGCATGTTTATTGTGCCTTGGGAACTATACTGAATGCTTGGTATTGACTGCCTTGCTTAATTATCAAGTGAATAACTGACTTGGCTGGGGTACCAGCATTATTCCCCCTTTATAAATGAAGGTAAAGTGATAGGTCCAAGGATGAAAATGATGCAGATAAAGCAATTTGTCCAAGGATAAAAACTGGAAGCACAGGCAGAATCTGTGTAGCTAATGCCAAGGACCTATTCCTAACCACTCCACCACAAGATCCTATTTGGTTTTCATGAGGACCTACCAAAGGAGGAGGAGCAGAATGCTTATCCCATAACTTTCCAGTAGAGATAACTCAGTAGTGACATACTAAGCTGTTTGCTTATATTATATAAGCTACAGTTAACAATTCATGGCTTCTTCTATGCCATGTTGCTGCTGGCATTATAATACTGTATGGGGGTGGGGGTTGGAAGATGGGGGGGTGGAGCTTTATAGTCAACTTTTATGTTTATCTGTTGAGCAAAACGTTTCTGAAGTCTTCTTGGGGATTCTGGAAAGACCTCTTGCTGTTCTGTGAGTAGTGGCATTTTGCTTTAGCAGAAGCATCCTAAGAACAGCTGATCATGCAGAGAAAAATGAAAATTTCATTACCCTTTGCATTAGGCATTTGCATAGATTTCAAAAGGATTTCATGGCAGCAGGAGGTTTTGTTAGAACCTGGCTGTAGAGCCTGCCCTTCAGTTCTTTCCATTGTTTTCATTTTCTGAATTCTCCACAATCTTTTAGAGGGACAAGTACTATATGGTTCTACTCATAAGAGCTACCTAGAGTAGCCAAATTCATTGAGACTGAAGGTAGACTGTTGGTTGCCCAGGGCTGGGGTAGAGAGGGGTGCCTTAACAGATGGAGCTGAAATGTCCCACTACCTCTCCTCTTTTAGAGCTTACAGACACGTACGAAACTTGTTGCTGACCGTGGCCAGTTCAAGTGTTTTAGTCAAGAGTTTTGTGACATTCTGCTAGGAAAGGTAGTTTCCTGTAGTCAACTTTCCTGTTTTATGTTCCTCAGTAGAATAGACTGTTAGTTTATTAATGACAGAGTTATTTGGTTCAGGCTATATTCAATGAAATGTCAGCCTCCTCACCTTCATTCACCTGTTTAGGAAGCTGTTATTTGGAGGATGTTTTTTGCTGTTATTTCCCCTTACTGGTCATTGAAATATAATATCAGTAGTATTACAAAACCACATTCAGTTTTGCAAATCTGTCTTTTCCTCTGTGGTCTAAATATCATGGTGAGAAAGAGAAGAGACAATTTCTTTGAGTAGAGGTCTTTGCATTGGATGAGTTAAGATAATATAAAATTCTAGTTAGATTTGTAAAAGTTTGTACTGGAGAGCAATGTTCCAAAGCTGGGGAATGGTGTTTCTTATTTATTTATTTATTCATTCATTCATTTGTTCATTTATGCAGTGCTGGGGATTGAGCCCAGGGCCCTCTTGCATGCTATGCAAACACTACTATGTTCTCAGCCCTTCTTGTATTTTTAAAGGGAGCATAAAGTAGCCCCTTGCCTGATCTGTGGCATCAGGATTTGATTAGGTTGTTGAAAACCACGATAGTATTTTGGGATAGACGTGAATAATAGGTTTCAGAAGGAAGCATTATACAAACGATTAAGTGGTTGTACTCAAGAGAAGGGTTGCCTACTAACCAGCAAATCTTAAGGGGATACTTTGGGTCCTTACTGAAACCATGTCAGGCTTGCTTTGAGACTAAAAGGACTCTCATTGAGTATTCAGTTGAGTCTTCCAGTGAACGTAATTTAGAAAATGATTGATGGAACGAAATCCCTGTAAATCTCATTTTGTTGAACAAGATCCTTCCAGATAATATACCAGATATCATATAGTGCAAAATTGTTGCACAGAAAAATCTGTCATCTCCATCCCCATAATGTTCTTGTGCTGGCTTGACTATATGTATTTGCAAGAAGTTATGAAAACTGGGCCAGAGTGCATTGCGAACCTAAGACTAGCATCATCCTCAGATTGCTCTGAGGTCATCTGACCTAAATTGCTCCCTTCCCTCTCACCCCATCTGCTTTCAGGAAAATAGGCCAGAAGGGTTGTCTGAGTTACTCACTCAACCTGTACATGAGTAATATGAGTGAGAGTGCATGAGTAACTGTAATAGTGCAAACACTTAAATGTTACTCAGACTGTGCTCTTGAAAGCAACTTCAATTTTCTTTTATTCCCTTGTATTCAAGTTGGCAAACAAACAGAAATTCCAAACTAATCAGAAGGGAAAATGAAGTAACAACACACATTGATATTTCAGCAGTAACATTGATCTGGAAGGAGCCGTGTCATGAACTTGTTTGTCATGTAAGAAGTCACCTTGGCAATGGCAGTGGTGAAGTAAAACTAAGAGAACAGGAATGGGGCTTTGAGTCAACCACTCAGGAGCAGCCCTGAAAACGACCATTGGCTTAGAAAGAGTTTCAGGCCACTATCTCCATCTCCTAGGCTGAAGGCACTCAAGACCACTTTTTAAAAAACAATAAAAGTTAGTGTGTTAGCCAGATTTTCATTACTTTGAAAAAATATCTGAGATAAGCTACATAAAAGGAGAAAAGGATTTATTTTGACTCGTTTCAGAGATTTCATTCCATGCCCACTTGCCTTCTTGTTTTGGGCCTGTGGCAGGCTGGGCGCACATGGTAGAGCAAAGCTGCTCACATCATGGTGGCCCAGAGCAGAAATAAAGAGGAATAGTGTGTGTGTGTGTGTGTGTGTGTGTGTGTGTGTGTGTGTGTGGTCCCAATATTTCTTGCAAGGGCATGACCTTCCAATAGCTCCATTATCTGAGACCAAGTCTTCAAAACACACAAGCATGTGGGAGATATTATGATCCAAATCATAACGCTCAGTTACTAATGTGAGGAGTCTTCCTAACCACCCCAGAAGTTATCTTCATTTGGAAATAGTGCTTTTCAGCCAGCATTTGTGTTAGCTGAAAATTTAAGTTCAGTATATGGGTGTCTTTTCTTATCCACAACTTTTTTATTCAGTTGAAAACTGGATACTTAGAGGAAATTAACGTTCTAATCACCATCATGGTCTGTGCAAGGTCGTACCAAAGAGTCTTAACCAAGGATCTGACTTCCAAACCTGTCAGCAAATGCAGCTTGGACTTGGTGGAATCTCAGAACTTTGGTGTCAGTAGCTCCTTTTCTTGAATCCCCAGCCCCCAAAGCACGCCTGCTGACATTTTTAAATTTTGTTTTTATTTGAAGGTGAAAGAAACAGAAGACCATGGTATTTATGGAGGTAATTAGGAGTGGAGGGAGCTTGGCATGTGCAGAAGGAAGAGAAACCTTCCTTCCACAAACAAAGCTAAGCATAAAAATGGAAAGGGGATCTTGAAGTTTTGCCAAGGCAGAGCCAGTGGGGAAGCAGAGTGGTTGTTCTTTGTGGGTCCCTGGAGTCAGAAGAACAGTTTTGTTTTCTGTCCTCTGTGCTGACTCAGTCGGTGACTTTGGCAAGTTGCTTAACATCTCTGTTCCTCATTTTTTCTTCTGGGGCGTGGCAGTCCTGCCTCCTACTTCCTGCCTCCTGGCTCCTGCCTCCTCAGGGGACTGAGCTAGTGTGGGGGGTTGTGTTTGGAGGGAGGTTTCCTTTTCTCTTCTTTACTTGTTTCTCTCTGAAAACATTGCCTGTGCCTAGTGTTGTCAGTCTGTCTTCAGAGCTCAGATCACTGCCAGCTGAGGCCAAGACCTTCCCTGGGCATCTGTGGAGCCCAGCAAAGGACGCTCTGGGAAACATGTTCAGTCAGAGGCCTCTTTCTATTAGGTACTAATGGTCTTCCCTCAGTGATGACCCAGGCCGGCGTGAAACCACTGAAGAGCAGTGCCTGAGAGGCATGCACAGTGCTCCCAGGTGGGATCCATGGAGTCCACATGCTTGCTGTTTGTTTAAGGAATACACCTGTGGCACTGTTTGTCCATTTGCTGTTTAGACTTTCATTTATAGGGTGGAAAGTGCTCTGTCTGGCTTAGACCCATCTCATCCCAGTTATGCCACCAGGAAGATGTGAGGTAGGGGCAGCAAGGGCAGGTGTGGAATAGGATAGAAGCCTGTAGAATTTACTAACTTTTATACATATTGAGGGGTGATGGTAGCTGCTTCCCGACTTAGGATCCTTGTGAGAGCTGAACAAGACCCGTGTGCAAAACTTTGGCCCACAGTGTTCCACCAATGTCTGCTATTCCAGTTTCTCTTTCAGCCTTGTCTGTAAAATGACCCAGAAGAAATGAGCAACAAGAGCCTGTGTATTTGGAAGTCTCTCTTCTATGCATTCATTTTGCAATGACAATGAACACCAAAAAACTGTACACCATCCATTTTCTTATTTAAAAAATTGTACTTTTTCTTAAAAAACTTTTATTATATGTACAGATGATGTGTGATCACTAGATAATGACTTTGACTCTATTAATCCAGCCTGTCAAGCAAATCCAATGTCAATTACTTTGGATATGCTGTGGTCTTTCCAGATACTCACTTACTCATCATATAATCCTCTTTGGAAGGTGTTAGGTAACACCCCCATTTCTTCTGATGAGAAAATTTGCTCTGTATCTCACAACTGGCAAGTCGAATCAGCATGGTAACTGACTATTGCTGCATAACAGTGTAACCACAAAGTTAATGGCTTAACACAATACACATTTATTATCCACATTTAGGAGAGTTAGTAGTCTCGCTAATTTGCAATCAAGGTGTTTGCTAGGGCTGAAGTTCAGCTGGGATATGATCCAGTTCCACACACATACAGTTTTGGTCACAATTTAGTTCATCACAGGTTGTTAAACTGAGATCCTAAGTTTCTTGCTTGTTTTTGTTTGGAGGAATCCTTTAGTTCTTTGCCACATGGGCCTTCCTAATGTGGACAGCCAACAAGAGAGTGTCCTCAAAAGTTAAGTTCAGTCTTGTGTCACATGACTGTGCACATGTCCCATCAAGTCCCATTATCTATGCTGTATTCTGTTGGCTAAGATCAAATCACAGGTTTGACCTGCACTCAAGAGGAGGGGTTGCCAAAGAAAGTGAACACCAGGTGAGCGTGTTGGGGGTTACCCTAGACTCTGTCCACCTGCAGTCACCCAAGTGGAAGACACAGCTCTAGAAGCCTAAGATAAAGTATTAGTAAGAGAGTAGGTAAAGGAGGATCTGGCTGGAACTGGAATGACACAGGACTTCTTGGAAGATGTCCTCTTCCTCTCTGGGTTAGTCCTGTGTGATGATTGACATGAGCTGGAAGAGAATTAGTGAAGGCTTTGTGAACAGAGTGGAAGGGAGGAAAGGGCACCGTGAGGACAGTGCCCCTTGGAAAATGAGCCTCCCTTTAGAGTTGAAACTCAAGCCTTCTTCTCTTGGGGGGCCAACTAGACAATTAAAACTCAGTCTAGCTTCTCCTAAGGAGAAGTGTTGGACTTTGCAAAGGAGAAGAGATGTTACATTTAGTTACTCATTTCAAAAGTGTTGTTCCAGCTTTTTAAAATGTTGTCTGAGCCTTGAATCAGCTTGAACAATAGGAGTGATGGCCCTGTGTTTTTCTCTCTCTGAACAGAAAGTGAAACTACGGATAGTGTGCCCAGTGACGAGGAGAGTGCTGAGGTAAGCCCACTTCCTGCCAGGTACCTGCCTTTGCCTTTGATCACAACTGCTTTTGGATTTCTTTATGTGTGGTAGAATATAACCTAAAATTTGCCATACTTCTGAATCTTGAATCATAAAAAAGTAAGCATTGAACATTGAATGGGAGGAAAGGAGATAAAGTGTTACCCTCAGAAAGAGAGGTTATGACGACCAGAAGAGGAATCTGAAGTGTGGGCCAGGAAGTGTTGATGTACTTATCACTGCAAACATCCTAATATACCAGCAGAAATAGAATGTCCTGCCTGGCCAAAAGCAATGACCAGAAGGAAATGTCAGAAAGGGCTGAGCAAAATTATCTCCACAAATACGTCTCTTCCTTTCCCTCTGTGATCCTGCCTGGGGGCTGGTGTATGTCCAGTCTCCATGCTCAGTCAGCCTGCTTCCGGCTTTCCTCCTGTAGGCCGGGTTCACACAATAGCAGGAAATGGCTGTAGTGGTGATGGGAAGAGAAGAAGGGGTGAGAGGAAGAGAGAAAAGGGGGTGAGAGAGGGAGAAAGAAGCTGTTTGTATTGGTAATTTCCCAATGTACTCAACACTTACAAGTGAAGTGCAGGAATTATGAGAAGTAGGAATTCAGGCTCACACTTATTCCAATCTGGTGTCTTCAAGGTCAGAAATCTAGCTCCTTCTCAAAAGGGCCACTGCTGAGGCTAGCTGTGGCTGAGCATGCTGGAATTCTAAGGTGCACCCGTTTGAAAGCAATCAGGGGTCATTTACTGTCTGTTCCTAAGCACCTCAGTTTCTTTCTTCTGAAAATACAGGTTGACTCCAAGATCTAATTGAGCAGTGAGGAAGCAAGTTGCCAAGATGAACTATCCTTCTTGGTCAGAAACCTGCCGAATGGTCAGCTGGTCAGCCAGAGCATAGGGGAGCCAGAAACCAAGCTGCCACCTTCTTTTCCTGCCATATTTATAGGAGGAAGAAAACAGGAATTTCTTAACAAGGGGGAGGGGAAGCATTGCTTGGAGTATGAACGGCTGGGTATAGATTTCAGTTAAGGGGTATAGAGTCATTAAACTTTTGTTCATTCCATGATTCTTAAAGAATTCAGTTCAAACACCCACACACATGGGAACAACGGTGCATTTTTAAAAAGCTATTCAGTGTCAGGAAAAGGACATAAATATCTTCGTTTTCTTTCTTTGAAAGGGGAGACCACACTGGCGGAAGAGGAACATTGAAGGCAAACAGTATCTCAGCAACTTGGGGACACGGAGCACTTACCTGCTGCCCAGCATGGCGACCTTTGTTACTTCCAACAAGCCAGATCTGCAGGTCACCATCAAGGAAGAGAGCTGTCCGGTGCCTTATAACAGCTCCTGGCCTCCATTTACAGACCTCCCTCTCCCTGCCTCCGTGACCCCCACACCCGGCAGTAGTCGGCCAGACCGGGAAACTCGGGCCAGTGTCATTAAGAAGACATCTGACATCACCCAGGCCCGCGTCAAGAGCTGTTAAGCCTTTGACTCTTCTTGCTGGTTGTTGGGATTTCTTGGCTTTGTGTTGTTGTTTGTTTGTATTTTATTTTTCTCTCTGACGCCTATTTTAGACAAATCTAAGGGAAAAAACCTTGACAATAGAACATTGATTGCTGTGTCCAACTCCAGTACTGGAGCTTCTTTTTAACTCAGGACTCCAGCCTCTTGGTAGATGCATATCTCTAGAACCTGCTGGATCACCCAGGGCTACTCCCTCAAGTTCAAGGACCAACAGCCACACGGGCAGTGGAGGTGCTGCATTGCCTCCAGTCAAGGCCAGCATGGTGGAGTGGATGCCTCAGAATGGACGAGAAAATGTGAACTAGCTGGAATTTTTTATTCTTGTGAATATGTATATAGGGCAGTACTAGCAACGTTGCAGTCTGCTTCTGCACCTTATCGTAAAGCACTTACAATAGGCCTTCTCGTGATCTTGCTCTATATCACAGCACATTCAGTGTCCCCTCCGCCCAGAACCCCACCTACCATCCCTTCCCGTTCTGTCCCACCCAGTCCTTTCCTCCTTTTCCTCCCCTCAGAGGCTGTGTTGCACATCCTGGAGGAGGAGAAGAAGAAAATGAACTTCTCCACAGATGTCCCATTTTAAGACTGCTTGAAAAAAAATCTTTCTAATCTGCTATGCTTGAATGCCACGCGGTACAAAAGAAAATTATCATGGAAATATTATGCAAATTCCCAGATTTGAAGACAAAAATACTCTAATTCTAACCAGAGCAAGCTTTTTTATTTTTTATACAGGGGAATATTTTATTCAAGATAAAATTCTAAATAAAATATAATTGTTTTTTATCTTTTCTACAGCAAATTTATAATTTTAAGATTCCTTTTCTTGTTTATCAGCAGTTATTACATCCTTGTGGCACATTTTTTTTTAATTTTGTAAAGGTGAAAAAAGCTTTTATGAGCTCATGTAGCAATCAAATTATCCTGTGGATTGAAAATAAATGAATATGATATATAGTTAAATTTTTAATGGGCATCACTCCTGGCTTTGTCTGTGTCTGCTTTGACCACAATTATGGGTCAGGGCCGACAAAGTATCATTTACTTTTAGAGACCAACTTTTTCCCATGTCTGGTGTGATTGCGGAGGGTGCCTGTGTATCCAGTCCTCTACTGTGAACAGATTCTACCCACCTCTGTGCTTTTTCCTGTTCTCATCCATAGGCATAAACATATGGCTAAAGTTTTGTGTTTATGTCACATACCAGGTGCACAGATAAGACATTTTCAATAATGGGAGGTAGTTGCTGAGTTCTGATTCCCTGTCAGTCACTCTTCTTTCCAAGACTAGGAAAGAAGATACAGGCCCTGCCCTCAAAACTTAGGCCATGTCTTTTGGACTAAAACAATGTGACTTCATGGATTGGTCCCCATCCCCCTCTTGGCATGTCAAGGTGTAGCCCTGACCTTGAGAAAGCCACCATCCTCACCTCTCATGCTTCCTCAGGATACTAAAACTTAGCTTCCTACCTACCACCTCTGGGTGGTTATAAAGAGATTTGCTAAGTTAATGTTTGAAAACTTTCCTTGAATTTATGAAAGGACAAAGGCCTATTTTTATGTCTATCTTTCCCATGTCTGGCTACAGATATAACTAGTGTCATAAAATTATCTGCCCTGAACAGAAGTCAACTGATGCATGTTACTGGTTGGTATGTTGTTTGAAATGCCTCACACAGATGGTTGGCTGCTGTGAGGGTCACCTCTGTAGGAAGTATTACGTCAATTTCTTAGTGAAAGGAGGAGTCACTGGGTCCTAAGTAGACCAGTTTAGTTTTTTTGTACTTTATATCAAAATCCTGTTATTTAGTCACCCTGGTTTTTAAAATATATATTTTTAATAGTAATAGAAGCTGGCTATCCCTGAATCACATGACCTGGTCATCAAAGGGTTTAGGGTAGCTGTAGTCCTCTGCCCTTTTTCCCTCCCAACAAGAACGAGCTAGCTCACATCATGTCTCCTTCAGCAGCTCTGCAGGTCTGGCACCCCAGGTTACTGCCTCCTCCCCTTCTGTATGGGAACCAGACTGACTGAACCTCGTCAGGTGGACAAAAAGTCAGGATTTGGAGAAACACAATTTAGGTGCTAAAGATAACATTCCAATGTCAGTAAGGCCACACACACAAAAAAAAGAACCATGCTGAAAATATTTCTGAGAAAGGCTGTATTGTTTCTAAGTGACACTTACAGTAGTATGGGAAAACAAGCTAGTTATGCAATGCTCAGGGTAGACATGAGGAAGAAAAACAAGATGGGGCAGCCCAGGGACTGAAGCCCTGACCCTTGTCACTTAGAGGAAGCACTAGGGTCATGTGCTTCATTGGCTGGCATCTGTATGAGCTGATAAGGTTTTATGGTGGGTTTGGCTATGTGGGTTTAAGTAGCAAGTTAAGTGTAACTGCCCTTGAACAATAGCTTCCATTCTCTGCAGTCGGCCCCTAAGTCACTCCCTTGATAACAAGCCTGGTTGTACAGCTGTGAACTGTGAATCCAGTGACAGGGACATCTGCCCAACACTAAGGTTGGACGAATCCAGTACACCTTAATGCAAATAACTTCCAGAATTCCACTTTCAAGTCTAAAGAAACCCATACTCAAACATGGCAGTTTTTCCATATTTAGATGGAAGTCACTGCCAAAGACGGTGTTTAGTCTCTTTAAATGTATTCACAGAGAAGAAGTATACATGGATAAGAAATACAAATTCTTTGGACATCGAGACCTAAAATAGCATCCTTTTTTGTTTGTTGTTGTTTCCCCAAATGCAAAGTGTACCATAGTACACCCACTAAGGAGGCAGACATTTTAGGAATGAGGATTTGTGATTTGATTTTGGGATTCTGAGTCCTCAAACTTGAGCTTTGGAAGTATTTTGCCTGTGAATGAAAAAAATGTATTAAGCCCCCAAATGGGCTCCTGCCCCTAAATCTGAGAGGTAGAACATTAGACTCTCTATTTGATCAAGGCCATTCTTTGAGTATTGAATTCATTAGACTTGAAAAGCCCCCTGTTATTCTAGCTCTGGACAAACAGACCCAGATAAAAGGAGAAAATAAGAGCCCTAGTTTTCTGCCAAATTTCTACTGAAGACAGACAAAAAGCAAGGAAGAGGTTGGCAACAGATAGCTAAAATGGGGTGTGACAAGCAGGGGCGGGATGTCCAGTGCCTCGGTGCCAGTTTCAGTTTGGAAAGAATGGGAGCAGAAACTGGTTTTGGCCTGTGATATTCAGCTACTTCTCATCCTGAAACTCAATCCCATGGCATACCCAAGGCGTAGATGATCAGAACAATGGGATAGGAACATGACCTTCCAGAGGATCTGGGAGCAGCTCCCCTCTGTGTCCAGGCTGCGGCACACAGGTGTTTCTGTAGGTATCACAGGTGTTGCTCTGTGTCTCACAGGACTGTAATCTTCTTGGAGGTGCTGTCTCAATCAAGGTCAGGCATTCATTCACAGGATCTCCTCCTCCTCCCACAAGCTCCACCATTCCCAATGTGAAGAGGACAGGGCTGCAAGACTCAGCTGTGCCCTTTAAGCAATGAAGCCAGGTGTAGACCTAGAAAGAGGGGCCCTGCCCTGGCTGGGAGAATTTTTGGATCAGGAGATACAGAAAGATGGGCAGTGGGATGTTTCCTCTTGAGGCTGCCTGGCTTTTGGGCTGTCACCAGCCCAACAGTACCCTGGTACCATCCCCCCACCTGGGCTTGGGCCTTTTTGGCCTTGCTGTGAGGACAAATGAGGGTTTCATGGAGGTTTTCTTCTGTGGCCACACTAACAACAGGTGCAGAGGTACTATCTCTCTGTTTCTGAAAATAGTGAGTAGAAGGAAGGAAGTGGTCAGGCTGAACAGCTGTTTTTAGCAAAAATGTTAAGTCTGTCCAAGAACCTGGGTCATGCAGAGAGGGATCAAGACGTAGGACATTGCAGAGTTTACACCCTCTGGCAAAGAGCATTTTCTGGAATCCTTTGGCCAAGTTTCTTCAGAAGAAAGGCAGTAGTGTACCTTGTACCTCTAAGCAGACTGCCCTGTGTTTGGTCAGTTTCTCCATCTCTGCTTTATAAACATGTTCAGACAGACTGCTGGCTCTGTGGAATGCATTGTGCTAGAATTGTGCAACTGCTGTTCCGTTAACCCCCTCCATTCACTGCTGGAGAAACCCCACTATCACACCCAATGGCCTGTGTCACAAAACAGTTGATTTTAGTAACACAATTGTTTGTACAGGTACAACAATCTCCAAGCCAATAGCATCTCTAAGTTTTAGTTTTGGCTTAGAAGAATGTTTTAAAAACTAAACACTGAAATATCCATTCACATGAATGATCAGGGAAAGAAGACAGCCACAGTGTTCCATCTTCTGGATTCTTGGGTCTCATACCTGAGAATGCTCCCATTCTCCAAATTCTCTCTAACTCTCCAGTTCAAAGCCACTGACCTTTCAAATGCACTCATTACTCTGGGACACACTGCCAGTTTGGGGATAATGTTAGAAGCTAGGTAAGGGTGATTTCCTTATGGTTAGCAATAAGAAAGTCTTTGTTTAGTCCTAGAATTAACACTGACAATACTCTGTACAGAGTTCACCTTTCTGTGTCCCAACAGTCCTCTGGCATTGTCTATCTGGAGCTCATCTTTATTTGCAGTATCTTTTCTCTGGGAAGCCCATGTATCATGGTTTTAATGTGACTGAGATTTCACAGTCTCAGCTCTAAAATATTCAGTGTATAGGCAAATTAGAATTTTAGTAAAAAGAAAAAAATGCAAAATACAGCCCAAAGCCATTGCTCACATTTTACCTGGTAGTTGCAGGGAACACGTGTAACATGAGAAGGAAACTGTAGGCTGGCTTAGCAGATTCATGTTCTTATTTACAAGATGGATTTAAAGTATATACTTCTAAGAGTCTTTCTTTAGCAGCTCAGGAATTTAACTTGGGTAACCAATTATCTTGGTTTGTCCAGGTCTGAGAGGTTTCAAGACATGGGACTTTCAATGCTAAAACTGGGAGCATCTGAGGTAAACCAGAAGGGTTTGGTTGCTCTAAACATAATGCTGAGATCAGAAGATACATAGCATTTTGTGTTCTTTGAAGGATGTGAAAAATCCAGGTGAACACTTTATGAGGAGGTGTTATTGAGAGTATATTATGGATGAATCTATTACTAACGTATTGACTTAATAGTGTTTGGTTTAGAGAAGTAGATTTAATTTAATTTAACACTGTGAATTTTCACTATTTGCTAGTACTGATCAACTAAGCATGAGGGAATTGTACAGAAGTGACTAGAGCCCTCCTTCTAATGGAGCTTAAATTCTAGTTGGGAAGGGGCATTCAAGCAATAAATAAAAATAACCTTTGGGTGACAACAAATGTTATGGAGAAAAATGCAGCAGGATAAGGGAGCTAAGGTGTGATGGAGAGGTTGAAAGCTTTCATCTTAGTGTTTACAGGATCAGTTGCAAGGTTGGCAGTTGCAAAGACCAGCAGTTAGAGGGAAAGAAGGAAAACGGTGTGTATCAGCAGAGTTCAGTTGCAGGAAACAAAAACCACGCTAGCTATTTTAAGCAGAAAGGCATTGAATAGAGAAAAGCAGGTGTTTGTGTTGCTGGGGAGGCAGGGGAAGCCTGTATGGTTTCCACCTCTGCCACCACTGTGAAAGCAGAAAATCAGGAGCTGTCACTAGAAACATTAACTCCAAGGACACATTGCAATCTGCTCCCCAGAAAGTTCCTGTTAACCCACCTTAATTGTCTCTGAACACCCATCACAATAGTGACTGAATGCTCAGAGAGTCCTGTTTCCACGGTTGCAGCCAAATTGCAGGGAGGTGGCTTTAGTCTCAATTCTGACTTCCAAATCTCTTGCCAGTGAGTAGCATCAATTGAACACAATTCACAGGCAGAAGCCCAGCTTCAAGTAAGACTGGGAAATAGGATTCCAGACTGCTGGCCTC